AGTAATTTATCTTTCATTTTTTTGTTGTCATGGAATTTTATATGATATTGCTTTTTGCATCGCGAAATTAAATTTTTACACGATAAATATTATTTAATTCTGTCTAACACGCGATACAATTATTTGTCGGAAACATACATTTCGATGTGATTTTTTTTCTCTACAATTTCATTATTATATGCGATCTAAAATTGAGTAGATCTTATGCAGTAGATTCTACAAATGAGTAAACGGCCAATTATAATAACGAGAAATGTTCACTTCAAATAGTTTCTCCGCAATGTTTATCATTGTGGCGTAATTTGCAACTGGGCAAGTTGATAAATACAGCAGCGCACGATAAATGTAGCAACTCTCTCGTGATTTATTACGCGAAGTAGATTTCTCTTCGTGGCGACAAACACTTTAAAATGTAATACTATTTATTTCGCCTTTTATCGATGTGGATATTTTCTGCGGAGATTGTGGCCGCAAAAATTTATTTTCAACACGTTACTGGCGAATTGTAAACAATGGAGCACGAGCGCGGACACAACGATACGTAATCCCTGGTAACGACAAATTGAAAACTCTTTTTATACACACATACATTTATACATAGTGTTTTCTTTATGGAATTTATATGATTTGATGATCCGCTTTATGCGATTTACTCTTTATGTCAGTTTTTCTTTAGGTATATTGTATTTTTTACCACGTTGCGTTGTGTCAAAATTTTTCGGTCGCATATATTTATTTCAAACAGAAGTTAATTAAAGAAAGTTTTTTAATACGATTTTCATTATTAGGTCATTTAATTATCTATCTTGTTAAGAGATATATTGAACATTATCAAAAAATCTTTTGACGCATAATAAATTCAATAAATTAAGTATTGATTTTTTCTCTCTATGAAGTACATTCATAAATTTACGCTGACATCTCTCTGCTTCACGCAAATTTTACACGCTTTTTAGTAGCCGTTTTGCGCGATTTTATCTCTGTTGACGTATATCGATGTATATACATATACGGTAGAAAACCCATTGCTCCAGCTCGTTGCGAGGCGTCTCATCTTCACTCTCGAAACCGAATAAACAACGACTGTCGTACACGATCGTGAATTTCCTAGCAGAATCGCGGTCTCCACCTCACGAGCTCTAGCTATTCAACCCCTCTCGTAGTAAGTACGTGACTAAATATATTCTTTTCCATTTTCGAGACTTGGGAACCGAGGGCGGAAAAGGCGTTGTGTCCCAATTCACGTTTAGCACGACTGCCGCGTATATTGTAGATTCGTTCGTGTTTAGTCGACTTACCTCGTCGACGTGCTTACACGATGAATTACACGCTTCCCGGGAAGATCAAACTCCAAAGTGGAAACTTTCCTTTTTCCCCACGGACGTAATCGCGCTGTGCACTGGCAACATCCAGCATCATGTGCCGTGATGCTGAAAAGAAATCCAACATATGAGTTATAAACCATATGATTGACAAATATTTACGGCTATTGTACAGACGCATTTTTATCAATTACACCTAAACTAATTTTTTATTTATTATATGTCGTAACAAAATAAATGCTTTTAAAGAAAGACAACATTGTTAAAATGCTAATGATGTTTGAATGATAATAAAATATTGTGTTACTTGAAATTCAGCGAAATATATATTATAAGACAACATTGTTAGAATGCTAAGTTTGAATGATAATAAAATATTGTGTTACTTAAAATTCAGCGAAATATATATATATATATATATATATATATATATATAAGAAATGTGCGCATTTCTTTCGCACTTTCGCCAACTTGGATATATCTGCTGGCATTTATAATTACAAAATGTGTAAAATATGTATTTTTTAAAAACCATATATATAACAATATTTTTCTTTATAATGAAAAAAAGAAATAAGAGATTTTGTTTGAAACTAAACTTTCCATATAATGTTTAATATAATACGATTTATATAGTTTCATCGACGATCGTAACTGTTTCAAATATGAAAAGTCAAAGAAAACTATGTATATACGTGGTATATGTTCTGAAAGTTTTCTTGCCTTCAAAGTAAATGCATTTATCGGTGCTCGGATCTCGAGGAAGAGATATATATGAGTCTTGATTTAAGATTGCACCTTCAATTTGTACTTTCCAAGTTCGAAAAATATTTCTTGTATAGTTTCGAATTTTGTCTCACGAGACATTTAGCATCGCAATTCTATGCAAGTTATTTTCGAAATTTTCAAATGGATATGTAGATAGGATTTTGTTTGTATAGTCAGAGAATATATAGTTCTCCATTAATAAATACCTATCGATGAAAATCGATAAAAGTGACGATAACTCGTACATATATGTCGGAAAATATTTTCCGGGAAAATTTATTCATTGCAATTATCTATTATCACGATTTACGCGAGATAATGATTAAAAATGCATGATATTTTTAGAAATAATATTCTCTTTGCACACTTGAGAAAAGAGAGAGATAATTTTTGAAAACTTCATAAATGTAATAAAATTATGCTTATAAAATAGCAGATAAGAGTGATATGTTCAAAAATACAAAAAGATTTCCTTTAGAGAGATACTTTACACATTCAGAGAGACAATTCTTATTAATTTAATTTAATAACTTATTAATAAGCGTAGAGAGATTGTCAGAATATGTAATTTTAGAAAAAGCTAAAATGGTTAAGTGAACAAATATATTTGCTTTTTACTTTGCTCCAGTTTTGCGAAAAAAAATAACGATAGTAAAGAAACGAGAAAATTTCAATATACTTGTTTACCTAGTTTCGCAAATGTCCATTCAATTGGCGAATCGCATTTGGCGTGCGGTTAATGTCAGATGTACTCGAGATTTTTCATCCACATTGAGCGTCTGAAACTTTTTCCGTATGTCGCTTGTGGCACGATAAGAAGGGGAAGAAATAAACGGCGCGGGCGGTAAATGCAAGTCTAGCTGCCTAGAGAGCTGGAAACTCTATTTTATGGTAAATAGACGTTGCGCGCACCGTAGGTGAAAAAAGTGAAGCAGGAAGAAAGAACGGAAAGGGAGTTAAGAACGGTATGGCAATGCCGAGCCTCCAGCAGTGAGACGGCGAAAAGAGACGATAGTTTCACCCTCCGGTTTATCGGTTTTCGAACAGGATGCACGGTCCCACTCTTGCACTATCGGCTGCACATTATTGTCACCTTCCAGCATACAAAGCTTCCATGGGTATTCAGGCTTAGCTTACATTGAGGTCGCGTCGCGCTATATAAGGCAAAGTGACATCTCGCGAAATCGTAAGATATGCAATTTCTTGTCATAAGCGGTGACAAAGTAGGTGACAAAGAACATTGTATCTCGTAGCACTGAATGAAATCAGCGGTAGAACTATTGACTGTAAAAATTCTTTCTGCAAAGCAGAATTTTTGATGTGCATAAGATTTACATGAGAAATTCTCAGCGGATTTTCTCCAGGATTTGTTTCTCATCCTACTTCTTTTTTATTATTACTGTTTGAGTGCATAATCAAGCGATACATAAAAAAAACCACTGGCCATATAACCATGTTTACGACATATCATTGCATTCTATCAAGTAGCTTATCCGACATTTTTATATCAAACGTTATTCAAAATCCAATTAAAATATTTTTAAAACTAAAACTGTGTAATAAAAAAATGTAATGTAATTTTCTGATATAATGTTGATGTGAGCTTTAAATGATCAATTTGATTAAAATCGACACAGTTATTACCGAGCTCAAGTTATATTCGCGAAATCTCACAAAAACTATAATTATCTTTCTTATTTTAGATTTTATTTTCATGTACGTATGCGCATGTGCAAAATGATTTTTATCGATGAAATTCATTGCATATATCATAACATAATATTCATAAGGAAGGCTTATCCTGAAGGGAAAGTTACGCATGCAAACGGGTTTCTAAGTCTTATTTTACCAATATCTCTCTACGCGCATATGATTGTCGCCAATGATCACTCTTCTAATACAGATGGAGTGAGATATCTCATTGAGACCTTGCTGCGGTCAATGAAAGCACGTTCTGCTCCGACAAGCGGCTCGACCCGAATCGGTCGATTATGGAATCGTCGTTAATGGATCTCCTTCTCTCGTCCCGTATATCCTGTCGTGTGATGTCGCTTGTGGTGATGACTATATGCTCTAATGTCTGATACGAAGTTGACTCGGACAACTCCGCTTTTGCGCGCGACGAGGAATTGGCCTCCCATTTCCTAGATTGTCTAGATTGTTAGAATCACGGAAATGAGTATTTTCTCTCATCGTGTCTATCTGCTGTATGATATATGCGTAAAATAGCATCTTGATATTTCATAACGAATCATAGTTAAGCGCGTTAAGCGAGTTCAAGTTGATTTGAGGTGCGAATGTAGGTGAGAGTCGGAATAAACTTAATTCATCAGCATTGATTTCAGTGATGGATTCGGTCTTCTCTTGCTTAACTCTTATTCAAAGTTATCGTATGTTATTTCGATTCGTAAATTTGAAGTGCAATCGTTCGCGAAACGGAATACTGATTCGATCGCTTATTCACGATCGTGGAATTCGCATAAAATCGCGCATTACAAAATGAAGCGGATGTTAGTTAAAGTTAAACGGTTCGTCGAGACTTGATTAATTCGGGAATGCAAAGTGTTGCGCGTTCCTTTTCATCGTGCCGTGAATGGTTAGTGTTTTCACGAATAAATGGAACAATAGCTTGAGAGGAGAAGGAAACTTAGACATTGAGTAATTTATTGCGAGTAATTTATATTATTTTTTAAAAGTCGTATACGCGTCTATTATTTGTTAATTTGAATCGTTTATTGATTTAAATAAAAATGATAGAAATAAAAACTTAATAAATAATTTTTTTTTGAAATTATATAGTTATTCAATATATTTGTTTATTTTTATATTCCAATTCAATAATAAATTTTTTTATATATACATATCATTATTTTGAGCACTATTATATAATTTGTATCTTATATGTTACAGGTCAGTATCTGAGTTTGAGTGTGAGACTTTGACTGTGAGATTCTCGAGTGCCGAATCGATTGTTGCTTCATTTGATTATAGTTTTCGCATCGTTTTTCCTTGTGCAATATATATGCGCGAAATACGCGTGCGATTTACGCATTGTGTCGGGAGTGCCGTGTAAAGTTTCGCGCGTCGGGAGTGCCGTATAAAGATAAAGTGTCGGGCGATCGTAATTATTCGTGTTTTCGCGAGTGCCGTGAGTGCTACAAAGGACCAAGAGAGGAGGAGGCCTGGGAGGCATCGGGCAACAACGGGACAACTGTGAGGTATGCAAAATTAATATAATTTATGACATACTCAATTTATTAAATCTACTAGTAAATTACTTAGTGGATCATCTCCATATTCACATGTATATACATAATTTAAATGTTTTGTTTTCAGATCCATGTGTTGTATACTACAATTCTGCTGGTGCAGGTATCGGTGAGTGAGAAATTATTCAATAACATTTCTATAGCAGTAATGGAAGTGTGTTGTAAAGTCGGCGTCTCATTTCGTGGAAACTAATTTAAAACTATAATTTTTTTAAATCCTGATAATTATTGATAAGAAAAATATCGTAGGACAAAGTGAGACGCTGCGTGAAGTTCGCGTCTGACAGTTTGTCTCAAAACATTTTTGTTGCTACTATTTGTTTTAAACTAGAATTGTAGAATTATTGAAGATAAAGTCAGAATTCTTAATTATTTATGAGTTTTTACGAAATGAGACGCCAGCTTCACATACACTGCAATTACTCTTGAAAGATTGACGTGTATTAATTGCGGATACTTCATGTATGCATATATCTAAAGCTGATATCAGTTGCTATTATTTTGCTACAAGAAGATTAATGCTTGCGCGTGTGTATAACGCTTGCGGTGTATATAACTACTGTATTATGGAAACGAGGTTAGCAGTAGTAGTTTAGCGATCAACTGGCTTTTCTTGGGAACGCATAGTGTAATTAAGATATAATTGTGTTATCTCCTTGACGAGGGCGGAATATATAAGGTGTAATGCAACGACCAAAATTATCCGAGATTAATTTCTGACGTTTATATGTAGCTGTTAGAATTTGTACACATATTTGGAAAAACAATGATACGAATATAATTATTGCATTATGCACAAAAGGAAGTATGACAACGTATTAGCACACTTGCAATATATCAATATAAAATACAAAGCTATTTTACTACATTTTATGTTTGGAAACTAACACAAATAATATTTCGAATTTTTCTTTAGCTTCAGTTGTAGCTTCATTGTCAAAGATTGTATTATATCTAATATCAAATTTAATTACGTGGCAATGATATATATATATATATACAATACACACATGATTATATTTGACAAGTGTTATGTATATTCTTTTTGGCGCAATATTTTATCTTGTTTAAAATACAAAGAGTTAACATTATGTAAATAGGTATAATACGCATAAATCAGAGACGCTGTTCGCGCTTGTTAGAGTATCAAAGCAGCTTGCCCGCCTATTCGCAGCATGTCTATCTCGTTGGTGTATTCAACCAACCGCAGGGGACAAAAGCCACGCTAATATGTGCAAACTGACGAGGGCGCAAGAAACTGCTGGTTGGATGTTTGTTGCATATAGCGCTCGCATTATGAGAAATGCTGCTTTAGAAGGCGGCGCAAATAATTTATGCAACACTGATATTCTTAGAAACAATTAAAAATTGATGTATTATTAAAAGGCAGCAAACTCTTTTGTCTTGAGACATGTGTTATTTCGATCAAACAGTAAGAATAATTCGTGCATGAAAAGAAATATCTCTATATAAAATTTCACATATAATTCATAGAAATAAAATGACAAAAGTGCCAATTATTAAGGTCGTTTTATATCTTACGTGAATTTGTTAATTATATATTGAACATTGTTCCAAGTTATTTGTTTGCTATTTGTCAAAAAACATAGACATGTATTTAACGCGCGACATATGCGTCCTTGTGATATAACAAATTAGATACCTAAATGCTTGTGTAATTCTCATGATTTTGGAATGTGGAGGGTCACAGTCAGCTCGTGCAATCGTCCTAACGAACGTGACGTTGATTAATCATGGCGTTGTATTGTTATGCGAATTATGTTCATCCCGAGAGGAATTTGAAAACCGTCTACAAAGCTCTTTTAGCTCTTTCACAGAAGGATCATAATATTATATCTCTTTCAATTTAATTTCTTGTTTTAATGCATAACCGTAGCTACAATATCGTCGGCAATTTGCGGAAATTTGCATTATATAATAGACGTCATAAACTGTTATTGATTACTTTAAATTATTAATTATCTATTATTAATTGTAACAGTATAATATGCGCATTTGTATGAATTCAGAATTTCAAACTATTCTTATTGCCAACGTAAATTTAATTAAAACAAAGTTTCTATTTTACATATTAATAACTGGATTAAATAGTTCAATGCTCACTCACAATCAGTATACGCTTTCGTATAAATGATGATGACAGAGCTTTTTGTATCACGTATCATTGGGTCGCGCCAGAGCATTTAATTTTATTTGAAAATAGATACTTGATACTTTATAACATAAACATCGGAATTATCAGCTATAATACATAATAATACACATTAAATATTTATTTTGTTAATAATTATTCTTTAAAGAGTTAAAAAGAAGATAAAAAAGATATCTCGCGTTAGAAAGCGAAAAAAAAATGTTTTAATTTATTTGATCGTCGACACAACCAATATCCTATGTACATTCGATTTCGTAGAGAGGTGGCAGAGGGAGAGAATAAAGCGCCAACGACCAATTTGACACGCAAAAAGTTCGCAAATCGTGTCTTAACGCTCGCGGCACCGCCTTGTCGTCGCGTCTAACGATCCCCGGATATACGTTAACGGGTATTACCGGTGCTGACGAGCGACGGGACGCGTTTAAGGATTAAAGTCGAGCTTATGAAAGCCAGTCTGGAACTCGCCGCGCTATGTGTGTACGTAGATTCGAGAGCAGATGTTCGTAATTGCACTCCTCTCTACTCCCTTCTGCTCATGTTATAAGTGGTGCGCCGCGCGTAAAGTTCTCCCTGAGAAAGCCGTTGTTTCGGCGGTGTTTACTTGTCGGTACACACAGTGCTCTCGTGTGCATCATATGCGAAAATGTTACCGGATACTAGTTAGAAGTATTTGCTCCAATGCACACGTAAGCGAATGCGCTTATATATGTATACATTTGAACAAATATTCGCGTAAAAGGTGTTGTATATGTACCGATGCGTACATAAATATCCACGTGTTTAGTCATTCATATATAAATCAAATATATATATTTAGCTCGAAGTGTTAAGGCGTAAGTAAATAAGTACAAACGTTTAGGTACGTATGCACATCCAGGGACATGCTAAGTGAGAGAGAGAGAGCATGCAAACTGTGGAAGAAAAAGCCCCGTTAATTTCTACGGTGAAACAAGCCGTGAGATTTACTTATATTTTTCCCAGAGCTTTTATGTTGGAACCCCGGCGCGTTACTTCCGGACTAAACTAATTTCTAACTCGTTTTAAACCCCTCGCGCCTCGTATATACATGCTTATACACGTGAATTGCAAATATTCATTGCGTCTAGTGTGCAAAAAATAATTAAAAAATCATGCACCGTATTTATTTTTCTAAAATCAGTCATCTAACATGTCTCCTTCAATGTTGTAATTCGTTTCTTTCACAATGACTTACATAGACGGATAACGCTTGTTAAAAGGATTAAAGGAGGTTTTCGTGTCGGTACGAGCTTTCGTCATTTCCGCCTGACTAATATCTCTTTTCTTCATGAATTCTTTGGTCCTTGTCAAAGCAATCTGCCATCTTTTCAAGATGGTCTAAAGTTCGGGTAAAGGGATGAACGATGCGTGACTTTAAGATGGATGGTCTTGTCGCGACTTTCGAATTAATCGATACTTCGTGGAAGGATTAATTTAACTCGGATAAGAAGAAAAATAGTCTCTCTTTCTCCCTCTCTCTCTCTCTCTCTTTCTTTCTTTGCTTAGGTTGATGTCGTGTTTTTACGCGGATAGCTTTCGCATTATTTATAGAGAGGCGACGTCTGTGCAATGCGGCCAATGCGAAGTTAAAGACGATAGTAAATTTCCAATAAAGGCCCCGTATAAAATGCAAAAGTAAATACGCGAGATATATCAACGTATTGCATTTTTAAAAGGACCATTGTGATTTTGATTACAGATAAACAAGATTATAAATAAATTTTTGTACGCTCTTCGATCAACATCACGATAACGGGTATTAAAATTAATGTGCTTGATATATAAACAGCCAATTGCAACATTATAAACTAGTGTATCTTTAATGCGAAAATACGAGTTTTATAAATGAAATCTAATCGTGATCTTCGTAAGATATTTGAAGAGTAAAACAGTAGAATCGAACGATGTATGTATATAGGTATACGCGACATGTTTGATTAACAGGATCGCGAAATGTAGAAAATCTATGCGAATTTTTGCAGCTGGTGGAATGAACTTTTTTCGCTCTCAACTCGTATTTTGTCGGCCTGTATTTTTTCAAAAATTTTCTAGCAAGATCAACAAAACGTGCGATATGTCGTAATCCTTGATCAGTTTTCGTGTCCCGAACTTGAATGGACGATAAAAGTAATGACTAGTGCGGCAGTAACGTCGTTCTCAGTAACGTCGTGCGTCGTGAAATTCGCCATAAGGGCGGATCGTCTTCCTCCTGTGCGCTCGTTGCTAATTGATCCGTTGGCGTCGAGAACACGAAGCGTCTTTCCGACACGGTACGCTCACAAAAGCCGTCCCTGCAAAATTTACTCGCACCTTTACTGGACGGAGTTTACTCAGAAGCCGTCCCGGCGCAAGATTGTGCAGTCTCGACGAGACGAAATTCGAGATAAGATGTGGGAATGAAGGAAGGAAGGAAGAAATATAGACTGTCCGGTTTACTCGAACCGGAAACGCGACAATAAAGATTTCTTTCATTTTTCGTGACAGCATTGGTATGAGAAATTTATTCGGAAATATTATGCGATGCGTGAAAACATACGTAAAATGATAGGAATGCATCGCCATTGTAGTGATTTCCTTTTTGAACGTTAAACGGAAAATATTTTCCATACATATTTGAAAATTCAAAAAATTATTATCTAAATATAGTGAATAAATCAAAAATTTCCTTAACATATATAAATAAGAGATTATATAGAGATTAATATTACTTAAATGATGTTTCGAAAAGGATTATTATAATACAACTACATGTGCAATATACATGTTAATGATCTTTCATTCAAACCCATTATAAGTCGGTGAAGTTAATTTCAGACAAATGGCTTTTGGTTAACATTGCTTTGCGAAAGTATTTAATGAAAGTAGTTAATTAAACAGTAGCTGAGATTTATAATCTCGCAGTTTAATGAACTTGTAGAGACAAT